TGAGACGGTTACCAGGCCAGTAAGTGGAAGAGGTCGGAGGGGTGAAGGCGCAGCCTGGGCCCCAATCCTGTGCATGACTGAGGGGCTGCACGGAGGGGCCGGAGGGACGCCCTGCTCTGTGGTCCAGGGGAGGTGGTGCCCGGCATCTGCCAGCAGCCTTTCCCACTGGCACAGTGGGGGGTGGGCTTCACGATGGCTGCACCTTGTGAGTTTACCAGATTCGTAGGCTAGCCTCTCTCTTGACGTTCTTTCTGCAGGAAACGTTCATCTACCTTCCAAACAGCTGACATATAAGTCCTACAACCCTGTCCTTCCTGGAAGGCAGCCTCTAGGTCCCACTCTATCTCGGGGAGGGGGAGCCGCCTTTCACAAGGCCTTTCTTCCGTTGCATGTGGTTTTCCCCTCACCACCACCCCCCTTTTCATTTCTTTTGAAAGTTCACCATCCAGGGATTCCCCTCTTGGGAGCTATTTAAACAGAAATGGGATGCTGGCAGGAGCAGCCCAGCCGAGATCCCTGGCCCAGAGGAAGGCTGGCCGGGTGGCCCTGTGGCAGGCGGGGTCCAGCTTTGAACCTCAGGCGAGACACACCTGTGGCTGCAGGCTGCCAAGCCTCCGTCTGAGCTGAGTGTTGTCTGCCTGGAGCCACTGACTGGCGGCTGTCCCTGTGGCTGTGCTGTCCCCACACAGGTGCTCCAGGGAAGGGTTTCCTGTGTCTCTGACAAGCCTCGGAGCCTGCCAAGGCCACCTGTTTCTGGGAGGCCTTCCCAAGCACAGCCCGGGGGGCTGGCAGGCGGGGCGGCTGGGCCACTGGGAGGCTGGACATGCACACCCTTGCCCCTCCCAGCAGACCTTGCTCGTAGTGGGGGAAACTGGGGGCAGTGGGAAAACTCCAGGAGGCAGCGGATGTGGCCTCCGGAAGAGACAGATGAAGTCTCGTGGCTGCTGAATCTGTTGCTTGAACTCATTTGAGGGTTGTAACTGGTAAATACACATCTATCTACCCGGGTGTCATGGCAGGCTGTGGTCAGAGGCACTGTCGTGTGGTGTGGTAATTAAAACACTGTCTTGGGCACAGGAGTTGGAAAGACTCACATTTGAATTTGGTAGCAGGACCTTGGGCAAATTTCTGTACCTCTCTAAGCCTCAGTTTCCTCATCTGTAAAACCGGGTGTTTCCATGGGCTGGGCCAGAAGGCAGGGCAGCTGGGAGGTGCCCCATATTGTGGGTCATCGCGACGACTAAATAAGATAACACGTGGGAAAGCCAAGTGGTGGACCTGGAGCCGGCACATGCCCAGGAGGCGGTACCCACCCACCTGAGACGTGAAAGAGGCCTGACCCCGTCTTTCTGGTCTGGGACCCTTTTAGGGGGCTGACCGCACAGTGAAAGGAAAGCAGAGGCCTCCCCTCCCATCACAGGGTCTCAACTGAAATTGTGCTCGAGTGGAGATTGCAGAGACAGCCCAGGGCACTAAGGCTTTGCTTTCCACCGGAACGTGAGGGCTTAGAAAGGAACGATTCTTCTTGTATTGTTCAAATTATGAATAAAAAGCCATTGTCTTTCATCTGTGGAACATGGTGGTTTTGCAAAGTCTAATTAATTCCCAAAACATCTTTGCAGGTTTGGCAGCTGACGGCTTCCAGGTGAGGAGCGGGGGGGGGGGGGCAAAGGACTTGCCCCAAGGCTGGGGAGCGACTCTGCCCTGTCCTGGCTGCAGTTGGACAGTAATTGCTTTCTTGTTTTGGTTTTGCTTAAGCCGAAGTCAATGTGGAGCCCAGGAACTGTACAGACCGATGGAATATGGGGCCAGGGAGGGAGGTGGGAAGGCAACTCATTCGTCCGGGGACAGTTTGCGACAGGCCAGTGGCCCTTGCTCTTGAGAGGTATGCAGAGCATCCCCAGTCGTTCCTTTTGGTACCACAGGTCACTGGCCACCTTTGGCCCAGAGTGGTTTGTGGCGGTGCCAGCAAAGTCAGATCGTGACGGGTCCCCAGCTGACAGTGCGGAACCACTAAGACTTCTCCTGCCTCTGGTAGGAAAGCCTCACTTTAATGTTTGGTGTGTGGATTACAAACTCGGCTTTTTAGGTCTGTCCAGAGAACCCTAGGACCATGCTTCCAAAGTTGATGTCCTTTGAGCAGCAAGAAAGAATTGCATGGGACAATGTGTGATTTTTACTTTCTCTCCTCGTCCCCCACCCTCGCCTGGTCTCCCCCGACGCAACTCCAGCCCAAATGTCTGGTTCAGCACTCTGTAGGAGTATCTGGGAAACCCATGCCAGGCCTGCAGTAAAAGCAGTCTGAAGTTTTTGAGACATTACTCATTTTAAAGGCCTGAAGGAAAGTCACAAACAGATCTCTTTATCTGGTCCAAGTGTGGTTCCTCCTTGAGAGTCAAAGGCTTGTGCATCTGCAGAGTGAAAGGGGGAAGGAGCGCTCACAACCTGTGCAGCGAGGGGCGCACCGGTCCTGAACACTGGGGTGGGGGTCACAGCACAGAAGTTTGCCTGTTTTCTGTGCTGCCACTGGGCTAACTCACTGGTGGCCCAGCCTCTTTGCACAGCCACCAGGACATCTTTTTGCAGTTCAGTTTTCGGAAGTCATTCTGACTTAGTTCATGCTGATTGCATAACTCAGAGAGGTTCCTTCTTCCTCAGAATTTTGCTACTGTTTCCAGAAACCTCCGGTACTGTAACGTGCGGGCACATAAGGTCATCTGCTGGCAGGGGTGGCTTCACGGGTGTGCAATGCGTGTGGTCACAGAGCCTCATGCTCAGGTGTGCCCTCGGCTCGGGGTCTAACGCTGTAAAGCTGCAGTCTTGAAATTCTTAAGTTTTCTCTGTGCTTGTGTCTTGTAAGTGAAGTCCAGGGGACAGCGGGGTAGGCGCTGGGGGCTTGAGCATCAGTTACCATGGTCCCACCTCCCGCCACCTCCCTGCCACCCCTGGATGGGTTCCTGCCCCTGCCACACGGGGCCTGGGTACAGGAAAGGTTGGGGTGAGGTGCATGCACCCACAGCATCTTGGGCAGGGCATGATGGCAGGTGCCCCATCCCGGGCTGGCAGCCCCACTATGTGTTCAGTGGATGATTGACAGGGGTGAGTCTCTCCCCTCTTCCGACCCAGGTCCCCAGGTTGGATGTGGCAACACCCTCGGGAGTCAGCTGCCCACCCTGGGCTGAGGCGACTGGTTTCTGGGAAGAAGAAATCCTTGACTAGCTCTTTCTGCCCCCAGCTGGGTCTCGGCACGTCCATCCCGCTGCTGGCCGAGGGGAAACCCAGCAGCCGGTGGTCACATGCACGCTTGTGCACTGAGCCAGGGGCCTCGAGCACCCCTGAGCGCTCACCCTGCACATCTCACACCCTAAAGACAGCAAGATCATAAAGAGCAAATAAAAGGCCTCATGACACACACAACAGTGTGTGTGCAGTTAAAGCCACTGAACTGTGCCCTTAAAAAGGGTCAAAATAGCACATTTTATGTATATTTTACCACAATAAAAAAATATTTATAAGGTGTTTAAAAAACAAACAAAAAAACAAGCAACACATAACAAGTGAAGAGAGACCAGGAAAGGAAGGAAAAAGCTTTATATACTCTCATAGGCAGTTTTTTCCTGATTTTTTTTTAACCCAGAATACCATAATCTGCTTGCCTCATTTTTTTTTAATTGAAGTGTAGTTGACTTACAATGTTGTATCAGTTTCTGGCATACAGTATAGTGATTCAGTTATACACGTATATGTAC